TTTCAGAAAGTAATCTTTAGCTGCACATCAGATCAACTTTGGACGCAGCCCACTTCATGACGGCTGCTGCAACACAAACACAAAAACACAAAGACGACGATACATTGAAAGATTTTACACATACTGAGCTACATTGTTGTGTGGTGGTAGCTGAGAGTCATTTATAACACATAATCCAGCAGATTATTTAAAATCATGCAAGATACCACATTTAGATCGTGCATATTATTTTCAGTGTTTCACTAAAATGGCTCTAAGTCAATTCTTACCTTAAGATGGTTTTAGTAAAAAACAAACAACTGGTATTAGGTGTGACAGTATGAATGCAGGTCTTCCTTCAAAAAGAATATTAGACTTTTCAACAATTGATATGTTGATAGATTCACATTTAGTTATTGCCAGTATCATTCATTTACAGATGCTGTGGTTCAAACCAGTGGTGGACACAGCTAATCAAAAAGTTAGCTTAGCTAATGCTAAACCGCTAAACAGATAAAACAATTATGGGAAGCTAACGCTAAAGCGCTAACTTATCATACACTGCTGTCGCCGACACTGCAAGACTGTGTGTGAAGTGACACCATGAGTCACAAGTTCTTTGAGGTAGATAGTGGGGGGGGGGGGGGGTATAAAGCTTACCTTTGCTTAGCTCAGCATATCAAAGCATGTCACTGATCTGTGTAAATCACCATGACCTTGTATGATTTTAGTGCAGAGGACTGTCTTGAAAAAAAGATGAGTTGACTTGAATGTACAAACCGGATCCCAAAAAAGTTGGGACACTAAACAAATTGTGAATATAATCTGAATGCAATGATGTGGAGGTGGCAAATATCAATATTTTATTCTTAATATAACATAGACGACAGATCAAAATTTTAATCTGAGTAAATGTAACATTTTAAAGGAAAGGAAAAATATGTTGATTCAAAATTTCACAGTGTCAACAAATCCCAAAAAAGTTGGGACAAGTAGCAATAAGTGGCTGGAAAAAGGAAATTGAGCATATAACGAACAGCTGGAAGACCAATTAACACTAATTAGGTCAATTGACAACATGATTGGGTATAAAAAGAGCTTCTCAGAGTGTCAGTGTCTCTCAGAAGCCAAGATGGTAAGAGGATCACCAATTCCACCATTGTTGTGCAGAAAGATAGTGCAGCAATACCAGAATGGTGTTACCCAGCGTATAATAGCAAAGACTTTTAAGTTATCATCATCAACCGTGCATAACATCATCAAAAGAGTCAGAGAATCTGGAACAATCGCTGTGCGTAAGGGTCAAGGCCGTAAAACTCTACTGGATGCTCGTGATCTCCGGGCCCTTAAATGTCACTGCACCTCAAACAGGAATGCCACTGTCAAGGAAATAACAGAATGGGCTCAGGAATACTTCCAGAAAGCATCGTCAGTGAACACAATCCACCGTGCCATCCGTCGTTGCCAGCTGAAACTCTACAGTGCAAAGAGGAAGCCATTTCTAAGCAAGCTCCACAAGCTCAGACGTTTGCACTGGGCCAGGGGTCATTTAAAATGGAGTGTGGCAAAATGGAAGACTGTTCTGTGGTCAGATGAGTCACGATTTGAAGTTCTTTATGGAACACTGGGACGCCGTGTCATCCGGAGCAGAGAGGACAAGGATAGCCCAAGTTGTTATCAACGCGCCGTTCAGAAGCCTGCATCACTGATGGTATGGGGTTGCATGAACGCTTGTGGCATGGGCAGCTTGCATGTCTGGAAAGGCACCATTAATGCAGAGAACTATGTTCAGGTTCTAGAACAACATATGCTCCCATCTAGACGTCATCTCTTTCAGGGAAGACCCTGCATTTTTCAACACCATAATGCCAGACCACATTCTGCAGCAATCACAACATCATGGCTACGTAGGAGAAGGATCCGGGTACTGAAATGGCCAGCCTGCAGTCCAGATCTTTCACCTATAGAGAACATTTGGTGCATCATAAAGAGGAAGGTGCCACAAAGAAGGCCCAAGACGATTGAACAGTTAGAGGCCTGTATTAGACATGAATGGGAGAGCATTCCTATTTCTAAACTGGAGAAACTGGTCTCCTCTGTCCCCAGACGTCTGTTGAGTGTTGGAAGAAGAAGGGGGGATGCCACACAGTGGTAAAAATGGACTTGTACCAACTATTTTGGGATTTGTTGACGCCATGAAATTTGGAAACAACAGATTTTTCCCTTAAAATTATACATTCTCTCAGTTTAAACTTTTGATCTGTGATTTGTGTTCTATTCTGAATAAAATATTAGATGTTGGCACCTCCACATCATTGCATTCACTTTTTATTCACTATTTGTTTACTGTCCCAACTTTTTGGGAATCCGGTTTGTATTAAATTTAAATTTAGCGGAAGCTAATTCCACGGAAAGTTTTCAAAGTTTGTGAAAACGCTAATCTGTTCAATGGAAAGCCAGTTCCACTATTAGTGAATTAGCAGAAGCGTTCCCACCACTGGTTCCTGCTCTGACACTGCTCTAAGCAACAAAGATCTTGAAGAGTAACAGTTATTTGTATCAAGGATTCTCACTTCAGAACAAAAAAAGTCCCACAAGTGTCCAACAATATGATCAATGACTTCCCAGCAAAATGTCTAAAACGGTTTAAAATGTTAGAGCTTCAAATCTAACCATCAGTGATCGATTCGTTAACTCTTACTCTAACGAAGCTAAAGCTCTTCCACAAAATGTGCAAAGAATTATAATGATTTGAATCCTCCTCATAAAGGGGGGGGGGGGATGATCAGATCTTACTCTCTGACAAGTGCTTTGTTTCAAGGAGCTGTTGAAGACTCGGTGTGCGATCAATAAATGCAAATATATGGAGTGTTCAGTCAGAAGAAATCAATACACACGGCAGCAGTTTGTAAAAAAATACCTCTGGTCTTTATTTTACTTTGGTCCTGAGCACATTTTAATTCATATGAAAACTTGAAATACAGTTGGAACTCATGATTATCAATGAGATTGCAAAATTTAAAAACTTCTTACAGCTTTTCCTTCTTCAAGGGTCGAGACATGGAGTCCTCCTCCATCTCATTTTGTCCTCTGTGTCCTCTGTCCTCACTCCAACTACCTCCATGTCCTCTCTGACTGCATCCATGTCTCCTCTTTGTCTTTTTCCTGCAGCTGCAATTCTAACATCCTTCTACCAATATGCTCACTGTCCCTCCTCCGGACGTGTCCAAACCACTGTCCCTCCTCCGGA